GTGTGGAGGTCAGAGGGCAACTTGTGGGAGTCAGTTCTCTCCTTACAGTGTGGGATCTGGGGATTGAACTCAGGTCCTCAGGCTTGGCAGCAAGCACCCTTTCCCACTGAGGCACCCCACCAGCCCTGTTCTTTCTATCTTCTTACTCACTCTGGTCAGCCTTTCTCAGTGAGGTTGAAATCGCTTTGATTAAAGTCATGGATACCAAGTCATTGTTCACTAAAGGCTGTGGATATAGTCAGTACTTTTTCTTGCTCAACTGCTGGGCAAGCCTTTACCTTGCTGACATCATTTCCTTTGAAATTGTCTCTTGGCCTCCAAGACATTAAACTTTTGACATTTCCTTAGCGTCTTGGGATGTTCCTTTGCCAACTTCTCTACCTGTTCTTCCTCGGTACTTACCACTCAGTCTCTTCATACTGTGCACTCTCTTCCCAGGTGGCCTTTTTTTTTTTTTTGAGACAGGGTTTCTTTGTGTAGCTTTAGAGCCTATCCTGAATCTCGCTCTGTAGACCAGGCTGGCCTCGAACTCACAGAGATCTGCCTGCCTCTGCCTCCCGAGTGCTGGAATTAAAGGCATGCACCACCACCGCCTGGCGTTCCCAGGTGTTCTTAACCCCTCTCATGATTTCAATTATCAACGACTTTCCAAATCTCTTCTAGCTAGCCCTGTCCTCCTCCTCTGAGCTTCAGGATTCATGTTACCACTGTCTCAATGGCTATCTCACAGTTCATCCAATTTCAACTCTTTGACTTCCTCCAACATTGTATTTCCCTTTTCCAGGCTCACCTCTAACATTCGCAGGGCTGTGGGCAGGAACACAAATGGGAGCCCACATCCCGTGTGTCAGAGAGGTTGAAAACTATTATTCAAGTCAACTCTTAGATAATGTTCTTCCTTCTCACTCTGAAAAACCTTTGTAATGACCTAGAACAGTAAGTTTAAATTTAGGATTATTGTACTTTCTGGAGTGATGGCCTAGGATGTGGTCCCTGGGGTAGAACTGATGATCCCTTGGTCCCGAGCCCCATCCATCCAACACCCATATTTTTTTCCCCACCATCTGGCCTCGGTCCTGCACTGCGGTGAGCCTGGTGTACATGGTTTTGAGTACCTACAACTCATGTGTTCAAGATCTGTTCATATCTCCCCAGCTATATTTCCTTCTGTGTCCCTCCTGAATTCAGGTGCATCAGAGCCCTGGACCAGAGCTTAAAGGAACACTGTGGTCCTAGAAAGTGAAATTAAAACTGGAGTTCATGAGAGCAAATAAGGAGCCCGACCTCATGGAGAAGGCCATTCACAGAAATAGGTTGTAGGAGCCAGGTGTGGTGGCGCAGTCCTGTTAGCCCAGTGCTCGGGAGGCAGAGGCAGGGGGATCAGGAGCTCAAAGTCGGCTGGTCTACATGAAACTCTATCAAAAGCCATACATGTAGCCGGGCGGTGGCGGCGCATGCCTTTAATCCCAGCCCTCGGGAGGCAGAGGCAGGCGGATCTCTGTGAGTTCGAGGCCAGCCTGGTCTCCAGAGCGAGTTCCAGGAAAGGCGCAAAGCTACACAGAGAAACCCTGTCTTGAATCCCTCCCCGCCCCCCGCCAAAAAAAAGCCATACATGAAAAAAAAGAAAATAGGTTGTTGTGACAAGCAGAGTGAGAGAGCAGTGGGATAAGAGCCACTGAGGTAACTCTGCAGGATCCTCCTTGACTGGGCCTGATGATGGCCAATTGTGCATTCTTAGGAAGTGGCACCCATTAGTCAGACACCTAGTCCTTTCAGTCAGACATACTCTGACATTTATTGCCTCTTTATTTGATTTATTTACGCTTGTTTTTTTTTTTTTAAGACAGGCTTTTTTTTTTTTCATGTGTATGGGTGTTTTGCCTGCATGTATGTCCATGCAGCACACGTGTGCCTGGGGCCTGAGGATGCCAGACACATGTGTTGGGGACTGGAGTTACAAAAGGTTGTTAGCTGCCATGTGGGCTCTGGTAATCAAACCCAGGTCCCCTGCAAGAGCACAATGCTCTTAACTATTGAGTCATTTCTCCAGCCCCAAGTTTTGTGGGATATTCAATCATACTGTGAACCCTGAGTGTGCATGTGCATTAATTAAATAAAATCAACCTTGGGTCAGGAGGCTGAGTTAGCAATTACTTGACAGAAAGTAATCATAGGGAGTCAGAGGGTGCCTGTAAAATGATAGACGCACAGGAAGTAGTAGGGAGGGACTTAGTATAGGGTGGGTTCTTTTGTTTTGGTGGAATGGAAGGATGCTCTTTTTCAGAGACGCCAGCAAAGAGGGAAGGTCAGTTAGTTGTTACTTAACCTCTTTGAGCTGGCAGGTTTTCACCCCAGCCTTTGGCTCCCGAGTCTTATTGATAAATAGAAGGATAGAGATTTAATTAAAAGCCACACTTGGCGCCAGCGACAAAGCCGGTGCTTTGGAGAACAGAATTCCTGCCAGGCCACAGCCTGAGTGGCCACTGCCAGAGAAGCAGGCCAGTAACTGTGGAGTCACATTTGCTGGCTAACACAGCAGTGGGTTAAAGTACAGCCTCTGTACCAATGGAAAAACAACACCCAAGGATTTAAGATTTAAACCCAAAAGCCAAATGTGGTTGTATACACCTGTAATACCAGCACTCTAGAGGCTGAAGTGGGGAGATAACCACTTTGAGGCCAACCTGGGCTACATACTAAGCTCAAGACCAGCCTAGGCTATATAGTGAGATCCTGCCTCAAAATCACAAGGGTCAGGAAGATGGCTCCATGAACAAAAGCACTTAGTACAAGCATGAAGACCCGATTTGGGTCACCAGAACCTGTGTAAAAGTGAGACATGTGTCTATAAGATGCAGATTCCCCTGATGAGATCAGAGGCAGAACCTGGAGAATCCCCCATAAGCTCATGGGCCAGGTAGCCTGACGTATACATACAGTGGCTGGAATAAGAGGAACCCTGACTCAAACAAGATGAAAGATGAGAACCAATGCCTGCGGTTGTCTCTGACCTCCACACACGTGCCATGGCATGTGCGTGCATGCCCTCACATACGAACCATGCACAAATACATACTTAAAAGACGAATTTAGAAAGGAACAAAACCTAAGGCTTAGAGTAGGAAGCCAGAATCTAGCATCTTATGAGGGAGCTTCTGAAACTTCATACCTTCTCGATGCATATTATGTTTGTTCCCCTGTCTGTTATCTCAGTCATTAATGACGTGACATTTAAACCTGGAGGTGCATGTGTGCTTATGACCACTACTAGGGAAATAAAGAGTGTCCACTACAGCCAGGCTTGATGGTGAGAAGCCCAGCGGGTAAGGAGAAGGGAAGGAAGCCGTAAGGGAACTGAGTACTTTCCAAAGGACTTTAGCCTCTCGGTATGAAGATCTGAGTTCTAAACCAGAACTTCCTTTTTGAGACACTGTCTTGTGTAATCCAGACTGGCCTTGACATCACTGTGCAGCTGAGAATGATTTTTAACTTCTAAATCTTCCTGCTACTGGCTTGTGTCGTCATACCTAGTTACGGGTAGGGATCAAGCCCAGGGCTCCACGCATGCTCAGCAAGCACCCTACCAACTGCACTACATCCCCACCCCCTGGTGAGACTATTTTCAGGGATTAATTAGGCCTTCAGGATCCTCTCTGAAGCTATCTTCACTTGGAGTTGGGTGTTGGAGCAGTGCTGTAGGTGGATTGGTTGAAGGTGGAGGGGCAGGGCTTGAAGCCTGAGCCTGGGAGTTGCAGTGATTAACATGAGTCAGGATGTAGATAACTAACTTGGTTTGGGAACTCAGGAAGAGAGACTCAGCAAAGGGTTATTATTCCCAAATGCCGTGCAGAGGTGGAGAAGGCACTGAGGTGGCACTTAGAATGTTACTCAGAACCTTTCTAGAACAGCATGGTTGGCATCCATTGCCAAACTGTAGAGGTCTAAATAGGCAGAGTAAAGCTCTCTTCTCAGATGAGAGAGACTTCATGCCTGATCGTGAGTAGAGGAAGCAGGGACAGTTAAGATGAAGGACTGTGATAGAGGGTGGGTTACCGTAGAGGTGGACGGACCGTAAGCACACGCAGAAAATCGTGGACAGGAAAACACCATGTCTAGGACAGGAAGGCCTGTGTAGTGGGGGAGATGGATATAGTAACTACCAGTGTGTTCCCTCACTTGTGTACACTTTGGCAACCTGTATCAGCCATGGCGTCTGTAGCCACATCCTGGGAGCTTATTGCCCCTGTTCGTTTTCCTCCTGATATCTTCAATTCAACTTTCTAGTCTTTTAGCCCTCCCTTCCTGTTAATATACTGGGCTTGGTGGCCTCTGTCATCTCTTGGTGTCTGAATGCCACCTCCCTCTAGCCCCCATCCCTGGACCTGGGCTTAGCACGGGTCGGCCATTGGGTTCAGCGTCATTTCTGTGAATACTTGCTTGCTTTCCTCTCTCTCACCCTGCTCTGGATATCTCTAGCCACAGAGCTTCTATCACACACTAAGAAATCCTGAATCTCAACTTTCAGTCCTGGTTTCTCTCCTCAGCTTCTGGATATGAGTCTCCTTCTGTCTATTTCTAAGTGGAGAGAAATGCAGAAAAAGCTCGTGGGCTAACGGTGAGGGTTGGGAAAGGCTGAAGGCAAGGGAAGACGGGGATATGGAGGCTGAGGGTCGGTAGCATATTGGACTCCGTAGGGAAGAACACTGGACCCCAGAGCTGGGCAGCTTTTCAGTCCATGATGCTGCCTGGAAGTTAGGCTGAGAGGTGGTGAAGAGCTCCTATTGGGTGAGTGGGTATGGAGCCTAGCTTTGCCCTTTCGTCCTGTGGTCCTATATATTCATCCTGCCTCCATCTGTTGAGGCCGATGTCCTCTACGTTTGTTACTACCTAAGCCCTCCCTCCACGGTTTCCTCAGGCCCCAGCACACTGGCTCTTCTTCGCTCTGCACAGCCCCAGCCTTCCCTCCCCACTGTCCTTCTACCCAGGCCTCTTATAGTTACCCTGGTGTTGGGAAGGGCCTGCCGCTGCCTCACCAAGCCCGTTGGTGAACCCGCTGATGCCGAGGCCACCTGCCTGAGTCTTGATCGCAGACTTGAGCTCGTGATTCTCCCGAATGAGCCGTACCAGCTTCTTCAGTTCCTCGTTTTCCCGCACCAACCTCTCTATCTGATGCCGAAGCCCCTCATAATTTGTAAGTAGAGACATGCCCCAGGGCAGTGGAGAGGGTGCGGCCCAAGGGAGGGCACTGCACCTGGAGGCTGCCCAGGGCCCCGGGCCTTGCCCGGGCTGGAAAAGGGCACCGGAGTCTGCAAGGCTAGCCTAGTGGGCCCTGGGTATTGTGAGGTCAGAGACTGCGCCCTCCTCCTTGCCCTCTGCTCTAACAGGTTTCAGCTCTCTGTACCTCCAGGCCTGTGCCTTGCCTTACCTCAGCCTGAAATGTCCTGACAAGGTCTGGCCAATTTTGATTTCAAGTTTGCCTCTTTTGCAAAGTTTCTTTACTCTGCTAGCTAATTGCTGCCTCTGGACTTCCCCGGCAGATGGGTTCGAGGTCACATCACTTATCTTGCATCTGTGAGATTAGCCCCTCAATGCTTTCCGTTGAATAGACAGTGTGGGTGTTGTACCTCCCTGGAGTTCTCAGACTACCACAAGGGGTGCAGCCTGGTACAGGCATTTGTTGACTGTTGATGAATACTTTTTGTTCTGCCTTCCTGGGCAGGGTGCCCTTCCTTTTGATATAGGGCATGACTGGGTTTCATCTGTCATCTATCTCCTGAGGAAACTCATGTCTTGGATGCTGGGACATTGGCCCATACTTTCTTCTGGCCACAAGTGCTCCATTCCTTCCCCGGCTATTGATCCAGGGTGTCCTGTATCCAAGTACCAGGCTCCCCATAGCTCGGGCGTTTCCATTCCTGACACGGGTCCCCTTCTCCCATCCTTCATGGTCCTTTTGCACCTAGGTTTCTGCTCCCACGTTTCTTTCAAGAGTGTGAAATGAGATGTGACGGTGACCCGACAGTACCCTCTGTTACTCCAGGATCGCCAGGGTTGACGTGGCCGATCTGGCTGGGTAGGTGAGCATCTCATTCCTCCCTCACTGCTCCCTGTGTGTGCCTCTGGAAGCTGTCCACTTGGTTGAAGACAACGTTCTCCCAGAGGAGAACCGTTTTCAGTCAAAGATATACAAGTAGCCGCACTCCTCTGATAGGACTTCCAAACAAGAACCCGAGACCGTCTTCCTCGACTGGTTTCAAGAGACTGAGTCCTTGGCACTTTCTTCTCTTAGTGCTGTCTATGGAGAACTCCGTGGGCCTGATCTTGGGAGCCAATGGAAGCTGATCCTCAGGATCTCCACTGGCTCTGTGGTCACGTTCTCTCGACCTCTCCATGGGTCAGGAAGAGGAGGGTAAAGTCCAGTTTCAGACCAGATTCCAGTGGGCAGACTCTGGTAGACAGGAAAGATGAGGAAGAGGAGACCACCTAGGACTGGGACCAGTCTGAGTTGAGTATTCCATCTGGACCTCACAATGGGGGGGGCCTGCCCCCCACCTCTGACACTCCATGCTGTAATCCTGAGTCACTCTGGCCTCGAGGACAAGGGTGCCTGAGGACCAAGGATGCGTTCTCTTCATTATTCCAACTCTATAGACTGTCTTCCCTCCAGCACGTGACAATAAGCTTACCATGGTCGTGTCTTTGAGGCGACATCATCCATGAGGGTTACATTTGATGTGTCGGCTTGGACAGTCTAGGGTGTGGTGCCCATGTCTTTGGTCAGAAGCCGGTAGAGACATCACTGTAAAGGTATTTTGTAGGTGTGGTTAACATTTACGAAAAGTTCACTCTAAGGAGATCACCTCCAGTCCTATAGGTGGGCCTCATCCAGTCAGTTGATGGACTTGCTACCAAAAAACAGTATCATAAAAATTAAAAAAAAAAAAACAACAAAAACCCTGTAAGGCAAAGAGCATCCCTATTTCTTCTGTCCCAGGGTTTCTTTCCTCCATCTGTGCAGGCATTGTGTTAGGAACTGGAGATGCGGTGCCAGTCATAAGCAGACAGTATGAACTGAGTGATTGTAAGGAACACACGAAAACGTTGAGTTACCCCTGTGATAAACGCTGGGAGGTGGTGCCGTGGGTGGGTTAGATGCAATTGGATCGGGCCGGCCCTCCCTGAGGAAGCGACAGTTGAAATACTGAGTATCAAATGTGGGAAGAGTTTCCTAGTAGAAGGCCCAGTCCATGCAGAGGCCATGGGGGCGTACGCTTTGAGGAAGGTGGACCGATGGACGTGAAGAGTGGACCTGTGTGTGCTAGAGAAGGCTAGAGGGCCCAGGTCGTGCTGGACTGATGTCGACTTAGAAGGGCTTTAAAAAAGGGAGTGTGGGATGTACTGAACGGGGGAGAACTGCTGGATGGTGTGCAGGAAGGAGGTCATGGCAGCCATCCAAGTGAGTGATGAGGGCAGCTTGGGGGTGGATGGTAAAGAAAGAGGTAGGGCTGCGAGATGGTTAGAGACATTAAATGGAGCGGGCTTAGGGACGATGGCAAGGCTGGGGAGAGGGATGGCCTTGGAGTTTCCGGCGTGGGTGGTGGGATAGTCACTGGTTATTCCAACCCAAGGGAGAGGAAGGTCAAACATAGAGAGGAAACTCCAGGTTGAGTTTAGATGTGCTCCAAGATCCTGGAGGTGTGTTCAGTGAGGTGGGAGTTTCTGTTATGAACCTCAGAGTAGAACATGCTGCATGGGCTGGAACGATAGATTTTAGAGTCATCAGCTTCTGGAGTGGCAAGTGAAGGCGTTCGAGGGGATGAGATCAGCCAGGAACTGGTAATGAATGGGAGGCCCACTGTGCCTCAGAGAACTAGGGCAAGTCTGCAGAAGACAGAGGAGGTAAAACCATAGGGATGGATGGACTACTCAGGAGGCCCAGATGGATAAACCACATACAAGGGGACATTTCAAGGCCATAGAGCAGCAATATTACCTAATGCTTCTGCGAAGTCAGATGAGACAAGGTGGGAAAGTCTATCAGTTCTGACGTGGAAGTCACTATGTGGAAGGCTGCTTGGGTGGAGCAATTTGGCTAACTCCAGACTCACAAGTCTGGCAAGTGAGTGGGAAGAGAAAGAGAAGGGAGTACATGTAGCTTTTCTCAGGGTTGGGCTGTGTGCAGGAGTGTGGGCAGAGCTGACTTCCTTCTCTAGTGCCTGTCCTTCTCACAGTCGGGGGCCAGGGTCGGCTGTGGCCCTTGGCCCTTAGCCTCCAGCCTCTCCAGGGAGCTTACAATGTAAGGAGGGCGTGTCCTCAAAGGGCATGCAGACTTCCCCAGGGCACAGAGCCACTCCCTCCTCCGCTCCATTTTCTACTTATGACTGTATGCTCTTTCTATTCTTTTGAAAAAGATTTATTTTTAGTGTGTGTGTGTGTGTGTGTGTGTGTGTGTGTGTGTGTGTGTGTGTGCAGGCAGAGTTGGTGCCCACAGAGCTCAGGGGCAGATCCCCTGGAGCTGGAGTTACAGGCAGCTGTGCTGGGATTCGAACTCAGGTCCTCTGCAAGAGCTGAGTTCTCTCTCCAGCCCTGCTCTTATGTTCTTATTTCCCTCCTCGCTACATTTTTTTCCTATTTATTTATTTTTTTCCCAAGCATTGGTGTTTTGCCTGCATGTGTGTCTGTGTGAGGGTGTAGAATCCACTGGAACTGGAGTTACAGACAGTTGTGAGCTGCCATGTGGATGCTGGGAATTGAACCCGGGTCCTTTGGAAGAGCAGCCAGTGCTCTTCACCGCTGAACCATTTCTCCCTGCATTGTTCTTTTCTTTTCTTTTTCTTTTTTTTTTTGGTTTTTCGAGACAGGGTTTCTCTGTGTAGTTTTGGTGCCTGTCCTGGAACTCACTCGGTAGCCCAGGCTGGCCTCGAACTCACAGAGATCCACCTGCCTCTGCCTCCCGAGTGCTGGGATTAAAGGCATGCGCCACCACCGCCCTGCAGCATTGTTCTTATCATTAGTTTTATTATGTAGTATTTACAAAGTGTCCTTTGGTATCCAAACTAGTGGGTTTGGAAGTTTGGAGAGTGGGATTTATCTAAAATCTCCTCCCATCCACCTGGATCTTATATTCCGGAAGTGAGGTCTGGGGAGGAGGGGTGATGGGTGTCCCTGTGTTACCTTCAGTCTCATTCTCCTGGGCTCCTGGGCAGCGCCATCCGCAAACAGATCAGGGTTGTGGTCTGCAGGCAGCTGGAGGTCCAGCAGGACTGATAGGAACCTCCCAACGTCCACTCAAGCGTCTCGTTCCTCGCAGGCGCCTGAGGAACTCACTGGGAACAGGTCTTAGGGATGCCCCTTCTTGAATGCTGAGTCAGATCCACTCTCTCTGGTTTCCGGTCACTGGGTTTGCACAGTGTATCCCTGTTCAAATCTGTCTTATTAGATTCAGTTCAGCGTTCCAGCTTGGCGATCCTTCAGTGCGCTCTGCTCCCTGCCTTCGCTTGGCATTTTTGCAGCTTCAGCAAGCTTGTTAAACCTTTTTCTTTTTCCTTCCAAAACATAAAGTTGCTAAGGATCTGGGGTCTGTCTTGGAGCCTGTCGATACCCCCTCTCACCTTTGGCTTCCCCTTTCCTCCCCATAGAGGGCCCATGATGTGCTGAGAGACAGTCCCTGGGAAGCTTCCATAGACTGTACATGACCCACACAATACTAGCAGAGCTGGCCATGTGACCGCTTTGAGCCTGCCTGAAGTAGTCGCTTTCAAATCTGTGTTCCCATCCTGTTGATGGCAGGAGCGCCTGGGAGGGATTTGTCTGTTCTCTGCTCAGCTTACCCTTTCCCCCATGTTATGTTTTTGGTAGTATTTTTTTTGTTTTTGTTTTTGTTTTTTAACAGAGTCTCACTTGGAAGCCTTGGTTGGCCTGGAACTCAATCTGTAAACCAGGCTGATTCCCAACTCACAGAGATCCACCAGGCCCTGTCTCCCCATGCCACCATACCCTGCTTTCAGCTAGCCTTTGTCCCTGTGCTCCTAAATGCCAGAGGCAACTCTTACCTACCCCTGTCTTATACTTCAGATGATGAAGGGACCTCGGGGGACAGTTACTGAGCGCTGCGGGTATGCCAGACACGGTTGTGGCAGTTGATAAGGCACGGGGCCTCATGGGACACGTGAGGAGAGCACTGGGGCCCAGCCGGCTCTCTGGTCCCTCAGCATCTTCTCAGCTGTACGGGTCAGGGCTTGGTGCAAGCTCCACGGTCTCCGGACTGCTTGTCTAACTTCCAGCACCCTCTTTCATTCCAGCTTTTCTCTGCACAGCTGCCATCAGGAAAAGACTGTAAACGGAGGCTTTTCTCTGTCCTGCCCTGTCCCGCGGCCGCTTGTAAATAATCACTCAGAGGCTTGATATTAATTACAAACTGCTTGGCCGAACAGCTCAGGCTTATTACTAGCTAGCTCTTACTACTTAAATTAACCCATTTCTATGAATCTATGTATGGCCATATGACTGTGGCGTTACCGGTCTGCTGGCATCTTGCTCCTCGGGCAGCTTGCTGGCTTCTCCCAGACTCTGCCCTTCTTTACCTGCATCTCTGCTTGGATTTCCTACCTGGCTCTATCCTGCCTTCCCATAGGCCAAAGCAGCTTTATATATCAACCAATGAGAGCAACACATATACACAGCATACAGAAGGACATCCCACATCAAGAGAGACTTAGAAAGACATCCCAGAAGAAAAGAGTCACATCACCTCCTACTTTGTGTTCCAAAGCCCAGCACAGGCCCTGCTGGCTCATAGAAGGGGCTCAAAAAATGTATGAATAAATTGTTAATTTTTCCCCTAAGAGAACACTATCATAAAATTGAAAGGTGCTCTCTCTCTCTCTCTCAGCAATCAATAAGAACTTTATTTTTTTTTAAACTCAAATACTAGTTGGGTATGGTGGTGCATGCTTTTAATCCCAGCACTTAGGAGGCAGAGATAGGTGGATCTCTGGGAGTTTGAGACCAGCCTGATCTACAAAGTGAGCTCCAGGCCAGCCAGGGATCCTAAGTATGAAAAATCCAACATGTATGGTGGCAACATGCCTTTAATTCCAGCACTTGGGAGGCAAAGGTAGGCAGATCTCTATGAGTTCATGGTCTACATAGGGAGTTCCAGGTCAGCCATGGCTACATAGTTAGATTCTGTCTCCAAAATAAATAAATAAATAAAAATAAAAAAATTCAAATGCTGGCATTGTCTAGGAAAAAATTTGTGTGTGCATGTTTGTATATATGTAGGTATTCAAGTGTGTATGCACCTGTGTGTATAATGTACATGCAGGGGCAATTTTAGGTGTGGGGAGCCAAGGAAGGCTTAAGTGACTTTGTAAGGAGTAGATGAAGTTCTGAGTGAAGGTATACTGCTGACATGGGCAGGGCCTCGTGCCCATGCCCAATACCTCAGACCCATGGAAAATCGACAAAGCCCCCCGTTCTGGAGGCAGGGCCTCTGAGTAGATAAAGCCTTGCCTCTGGTCAAGTGTGAATACTGTCAGTGTGTGCAAGACTAAAAACTGCAGCTTCCTCCTCCTGGATGTTTACAGCCTGAGATGGCTCACCTACAGAGACCTCCTACCAGACTATTTAACGCCTCCTCTCTGTGGAGTACACGAAGGCAAACTCCCTGGGGTTCTAGGATGCAGCGTGGCTGGTACCACTTCATTAGAACGCACACAGCCCATCTGAACCCCGTTTTTCTGTGCTGTAAGTCTGTGCTTTCTGCATTTCCTTGCTGCTCTAGTCAGATGTCCAAAT